CGGCCGCGGCGCCGCCGCCGCGCCGCGACGACCCCCGGGGCGGGCCGCCGCCGCCGCCGCGGCGGAGCTACGAGGCCGACGCGCCGCGCTACGACGACCCGCGCCGCGCGGCGCCGCGCTACGAGCCGCGCGCCGCGTACTACGAGCCCGACCCCTACGGCGCCGCGGACCCCTACCGCCGCGCGGCGGCGCCGCCGCCGCCGCGGGAGATCGACGACCGGCGCCGCGCCTACGGCGACTACGCGGCGCCGCCGCCGCCGGCCTACGACTACGACCGGCGGCCGGCCTACGACGACCGCCGGCCCCCGCCGGACGACCCGCGCGCGCTCGACCCGCGCGCGCTCGACCCGCGCGCCGTCGACCCGCGATTGGACCCGCGCTACGCCGCGCCGCCGCCGCGCTACGCGGACGACGCGCGGTACCGGGCGCGGCCCCCGTACGACGACCGCGCCGCGGCGCCGCGCGCCGACGACCGCGACCCCTACCGCGACTACCGCGCGGCGCCGCCGCCGCGCCGCGACTACGCGCCGCCGGAGCCCCGCGCCTACGACCCCTACGGCGACCGCCGCCCGCGCCACGACCCCTACGACGACCGGCGCGTCGCGCAGCGCCGCTGAGACCCTCGCTCGACCGCCCTCGATGATGCGCAGACGTTTTTCCTAAGTTACGCGTCGCCCGCCTCGAGCTTGGCGATGTCGGCCCGGAGCTTGGCCGCGCGGCGCTCCGCGTCCTCGCCCTTGGTCCGCTGCCGCGCCAATTGGAGCCGCTTGTGCGCGAGCATCTCGCCGCGCTGCGCGTCCGTCAGGGGCTGGGGCTCGCGCCGCGCGTGGCGCAGCCGCTCGAGGAGCGCCTCCTCGGCCTCCTTCTCCGTCGCCTGGTCCGCGTTGTAGTAGTGGAGCATGACGCACGCGGCCAGTAGCGCCCACAGGTACGGGCTCTTGTAGGAGTCGATGCCGCCCCCGAAGAGCCGGCCCTCGGCGTCCATGAGCTTCTGCTGCTGCTTCGCGCTCTCCGCGAGGGCCTCGACCTCGGCCCGCGTCAGCGCCTTGCCCGCCTTCTTCTTCGGCGGCTCGGGCTTCGCCGGCGTCGCGAGCCACCGGCGGCGCGGGGCGGCGCGCGGCGCCGCCAGCGAGCGCTGCTGCGCGTGGAGCGAGCGCGTCGGCGCGCTCGTCGCGCGCGTCGCAGCCCCAGACGCGGCGCGCGCGACGCGCACGGCTGGACGAAAGAAGGCGCCCACCATGCTCTGACCTTTGCGGCAACAAAAATCGGACGCCAATCCAAGAGGCCGGCAGCGAACCACCCCACGACACCAAGCACCACTAACCAACTACCCCTGAGTCGCGACTTGCTCAAAATGAGTGGTCAAAACAGCTGCAACATGGGGTCAACGAAGCCTGTGAACCACCCGTTCTGGCCGATCGGCAGCTGGAGGGCTGCTCGGCCATGACCTCCACACGGTCGAAATTTATGATCGAGCGTCAAAACCACCAGTTTGCTCAAGCTCGAGATCAAAACTGGTCGATAGAGCCAAAACAAGCATAACTCCGGTGGATTCGAGTGGTCTCCAGCGGCCTCAGGGGTACCACCCCCACCACCACCACCACTACCTCACCAGGTCTCACCCCATATTTACAGACTACTCATCTCAGATCAGCATGACAGTGGTTAAGGTTGACCAAGTTATTGAAGGGGGAGCACACCCGAAGATCCCGCCGGGGAAGGCGCGGGCGGAGGCCTAGCCGGGGATCTGGCGAACCACACCGGCCCCCTCCTCCACCCTGAAGATCGTGCGCGCACTCGGGACGGAGGCGGCGGTACACTCGCGCCACGCCTGGTACCACCGCCACGCCGAGAGCACGCCGGGACTGGCGCAAGGCAGTAGCATCCTGAGTCGCCTCATTCAGACGACACTCAACGGACTCTCCGTGGACCGGGGGAGGTTGAGAACGAAGGCACCCGCACCCGACGGGCAGGACGTCCGGCTCGACTAGGCCGATTCAACCTCAGGACCACAAGTGGCTAGCCGAGGGCACCGCCGAAGAGGACACCCGTAGTCAGCGGGACCGAAGAGAGCAAAGACGCCGACGAAGAGAGCGAAGACGCCGACGTCGACGGAGCCGCACACAGCGCCACGCTACG